CAACTCTGCTATTCTGTGGGAGGGGATTTTCCTGCCTTAAGGTACAAGGACAGAAGAGATCCTTTAGACATGAGCAGAGAGGCAGGTGGGTCAGGGCCAGTTAAGGTTGCTAGAGGAGCCACAGGGAAACTATGCAGAGGGCGTGGATTTCCCAGGGGGTCTCTAATTTACTTCTTCCATGCCAGAAGCATCCTTATCATCCTCAAGTGTGGTGTGTATGGGGGAGGGGGACAGCAGCACTGGGCTCCTCTGCTGTCACCTCATCTTCATCAATGCCCAGGCCTAGACTGATCATGTGGTAGGTGTAGTTGGAGTGGGTTTGGGGATCCTTAAGTGAGACCAGAGCAGTTTCAAACAGCAGCACCACCAGGTCCTTGACAGCTTTGTCATTTCTGTCCACCTTAGCCTTTTGACACAGCGTCTCTACAATGAGGTGGTCAGGATTGATCTCTAGGTGCTTTTTGGCCATCATGCAGCCCATTGTAGAGTTGTCTTGAAGTGTCTGGGACTCCATGATCTGATCCATGTTGGCTGTCCAGCCATAGGTGCTTGTCACAGTAGAGCAGGGTGATGACATGAGTCTATTGGAGATTGTCACCTTCTCAACCTCCTTATCCAAGATCTCCTTCATGGGTGTGCAGAGATTCTCAAACTTTGCCTTGCTCTCTCCATTTTCTACTCTTCTTCATCCTCTGTAGCTCCAGGTCTTCCTTAGACACCAAGATCAGGCCCTCCCCATTAAACTCTCTGAGCTGATGCCCACAGTACTCATCAGTAGGCTCAGTCATATACACCACCTCAAAGCCCCGCTTCTGCACACACTCTACAAAGGCAGAGTTGGCCACCCGCTCTTTGCTGTCACCAGTGATACGGCAGATGGACTTCTGTGCCTCCTTCACTTGAGACACATATTCTGACAGGGAGGTCATCTCATCTCCAGACTGAGAGTTGTGACAGCAGAGGAGCTCAGAGAGGCACTGAGACAGTTAGTGGTCTTCATGGATTCAAAGCTTTAAATTCCTAGAGAACGCCTCATAAAATTTCTTGTAGCTCTCTTTGTCTTCAGCCAGCTCAGAGAAGAACTCAAGGAACATCTTCACAATGTTTATGTGGATGACTTTCGGGATCGTGCTCTGCTGGAGAATTTCTCAGGAGAGGTTCAGGGACAGGTCCTTAGACCATGGCATGGATAAAGTTAAGGAACTCAAGTATCAGCTCATCACAGCTGTCCATGATGAACATACGATGGACATACAGTTTGATGTTGTTCTTGTTCTCTAAAAGGTCAAAGGGAGCTTGCTGAGGAATGAAGAGCAATGCTTTGAACTCCAGCTGACCTTCTACAAAGAAGTGCTTGACTGCCAAATGGTCTTCCCAGTCATTGGTGAGGCTCTTATAGAATTCTCCATCTTCCTCTTGAGTGATGTCATCAGGGTTTCTGGTCCAGATAGATTTAGTCTTATTCAACTTTCTTTCTTTCTTTCTTTCTTTCTTTCTTTCTTTCTTTCTTTCTTTCTTTCTTTCTTTCTTTCTTTCTTTCTTTCTCTTTCTTTCTTTCTTTTCTTTCTCTCTCTCTCTCTCTCTCTCTCTCTCTCTCTCTCTCTCTCTTTCTTTCATTTTTTATTTTGTTTTTTGGTTTTTCGAGACAGGGTTTCTCTGTGTAGTTTTGATGCCTGTCCTGGATCTTGCTCTGTAGACCAGCCTGGCCTTGAACTCACAGAAATCCACCTAGCTCTACCTCCTGAGTGCCGGGATTAAAGGCATGTGCCACCGCTGCCTGGCTATTCAACTCTTTCTGATCATTATATTTCTCCTTAATCTTCTTTTTTTTTTTGTAATCTTTGCCACTGACTTCTTCATCTGATCCCACATCTTCAGTCTTAGGCTTTTCCTTGTCATCCTTATCTTCTTCCCCTTTCTCTTCCTCTGCCTCATCATCACTGGTCTTCTCTTGTTCCTTCTCTAAATAGAGGGTGATAGAATAGCCTATGAACTGTGGGTATTCCTTTACCATTTCCTTGACCCACCCCCTAAGTATTCTGTCTGGTCTACTTTGAGATGAAGGATCAGTTTGGTACCCTAGCCAGTGGGTTCACTGTGGTCTGCATGAACTATCTGCAGGATATACCAGCAGAAGACTCCTAGGCATACTGCTCATCATCATTGTGCTTTGTGATCACAACCGCTTTCTCTACCACTAGGTAGGCTGAATAAATTCCAACACCAAACTGCCCAATCATGGAGATGTCTGCACCAGCATTGAAAATCTTCATGAGTACTTGTGTGCCAGACAATGGTTCCCAAGTTATTTATGAAGTAAGCCTTGGTCATGCCAATGCCCATGTCCACCAAAGTCAGCTTGCACTTCTGAGGGTGACATCAATTTTCAGCTTTTTATTGCTGCCCAACTTGGGCCTATCAGTTTCTCATAGCTAATCTTCTCCAAAGCATCAAAAGCATTAGAGATCAACTCCTGAAGGAAAATTTCCTTGTTGGAATAAAAAGTATTGATGATGAGAGACATGAGCTAAGTAATTTCTGCCTCAAAGACAAAGGTCTCTACCTCTTCCTCTCCATGGTACACTTCCTCAGGCATCTTGACAGGAAATCCTAATGGTAGTACAGAGTAAGGTAGGCCCTAACTGCATCTGACTCACATGCCAAGCTTAGGTTGCACAAGGTGGCTTAAGAACTCCTTTTCATTTCTGACATGAGTATTTCTTTGTCAATCTTAAATATTAGATATTTTATATATTTAAAATGCCACACCATATCTGTTTAAAAAATGGATAGAACTCATTTTACTCACCATGTTGAAGGTTATCTATTCCAACTTACAGAATTATCAAAATCTAGAGCTGTATTTTTACTTAGTAAACTGAGATGCGGGTTTATGTATATGCCATTGGGTTCTAGATAAGTTTGGAAGGACAAAAGGAAACTTACTATGGGATGTTTTTCTCCTGTCATACGCATTTGAAAACACCTAGAGACTCAGCTCACTTTTATACCACACGATCATCTCTAATGAACTGTGCTGCTGAAGGAGCTCATGATCCCTAACTGGGAAGTTGCTCTCATTTTAACATGGGACCCAAATGTGAACAGATAATAGCAAAAGGATGTAACGTCTGTTTCTAGAGGTATAACTGGAATATCTTGTCAGACTTGAGGCTGTTAAGGAAGCATGGATAAACCAGAGAGGCCTGAAGAGATGCCACTGTCATTGGATCATGAAGAATAAGTGTGTGTGTGTGTGTGTGTGTGTGTGTGTGTGTGTGTGTGTGTGTGTGTGTGTGTGTGTGTGTGTTGCTGATGATGGTAGTAAGGGCATTCCAGGTAGAAGAGCCTACAGATGCCAGAAATAGTTTCAATAGTTACAGAGTAGGGGTCAATAATATACCATAAAGGACTCCTATAAACCATGGTTTACTTTAAGAAACAATTGCTAAGGTCAACTTTATTGATACGACCTGCTATGGACTAACATGCTATATTACTTTTCTTGTTTGTGAGGTAAAATACCCTGACAGAAACAGCATAGAATGGGGTTATTTTTGCTTACAGTTTCAGAATATATTGTATCACAGAAGGGAAGTCATGGTAACAGAAGCTTGGAGTGGCTGGTCACAGTATGTCCTCAGTCAGGAATCAGACATAGATGAATGATGGTGCTCAGCTTTCTTTCTCTAATTTATTCCATCCTGAACCCCAGCCTATAGGAAAAGCACTTCTCACAGCTATGGTGGGTCTTCCCACATCAATTAACCCAACTGGAAACTCCCTCACAGACATGCCTAGAGGTTTGTCTCCTAGGTGAGTGTAGAACCTGTTGACAATGTTAATCATCACACATGCCCTAAATGTTATAGTTGAGAATATTAAATATTACTTAAATTTATGTCAAAACATGTACCCATCTTTTAGAACAAGCCTAAGTGTGTTACATTTTAAGAAAAGTCACATGAAAGATCCTGATGGAGGTGAGCTAATATTCTCTTCTGATAGCTTCTTCACAGCACTCATGTCTCCATCCCTCCCATCTGTCACTCTACCAAGACAAGCCTAGACCACTCCATTCCCCTCTTCCCTGCCTTATCTGGAAGATGAAGTTAAGGCCTGGGCCAACCCTTCTGAGTTCATTATCACTGCTGTGTTCTCACTGTGGAGACAGTTAAACCACCAAAGACTGAAGGAAACCAGTAGCAATTGACAAGCTACATGTTGGTCAAAAAAATGATGTTAGAGAATATTGCTCAGTTTTTCTAAGCCTATTTTTCTTTAGGAATTATGTAAGGATCACAAAATGATAGTTATTGGTTACATTAGTATCCTACATAGTAGATATTCAAAAGATATTTGGTGAATAACCAAGTATAATTTTGGTTGTGGGCCTAGCCTTTATAAGGCTGAGCCATCTCTGCAGCCCACCTGGATATCCTCATGCAAAAGTGAAGTTAGATCCCTGTCTTACTCCATGTACAAAAAATGAAATCAAAGACCAAGTAGAGGTTAATGGAAAAATGGCTGCAAATAAATGCAGTATTTTGGTTTTGGGGGATGCAAATGTTCTGGAATTAGACACTAGTAGTAACTACAGTACAACTTTACGAATATAATGAAAAACCACTGAATCACATACCATAAAGGGTGATTTTTATGGTCTGCAAAGTATATTTTGCTTACAAATCGATGCAGGCTGAGGAGATGGCTCAGTGGGGGGGAGTGCCTGCCTGCCAAGTATGAAGACCTGAGTTCGGATCCTCAGAACCCAACTAAACAGTTGAGCATGGTGGCAGTGTGTGTCCGTAATCCTAGTGCTGGAGGTTGAAGGCAGGAAGACCCAGGGGTTTGCTGGCCATTCAGTCTGGACAGCCTGTGAGCTCTAGGTTCAGCCAGCAACCTCACCTTAAAAACAAAACAAACAAACCTGCTCAGAAGAGTGACTAAGTAGATGCCACCATCTGCAGAGGTGCCAGCACCCACACAGGCGTGCACACACAACATTCAAATTAGATGCAAATGAGTCAAGACAGTAACAGTAAGAACGAAATCATGGCCCAGAAACGTGAGCTGCTTCTACAGATGTTCAGAGTAGACAGTCTTCACTCTGAAAAGGAACGGAAGTTATGAAAAGGGCATATTTTTGAAGCAAAATTGAAATTAAAGAACCTATTTCACTAGTTATAAGATATATTCCCATTTCAGAAAGCTGAAAAAAGAATGTTCCTCTTTCAAATGATGAAATGTCTTCGTTTTTCTGATTACATATTTGTGGTCTATACAATTCTGTAAAGCTCGGGCCTTAATTTTTCAAGTAATGCGGCTGAGGCAGAGCTCCTGGCTGGCTCTCAGTACACATTTTCTCTTCCCACAGTGTCATCAGGGTTTCTGAGCTGCGGAGATGGCTCTCAGCCAGAGGCTGTAACCTCAGCTCTCCCTGTCATTCCCTGGCTGCAGCGAATGTGTACCGTCAGGCCGCTGCGTGACAGCAGGAGGGTGTGCCAGCACCCAGTCCGTGTCTTGGGGGGAAGGAATGTCCTTTCTCCCTTGCTCATGCTCCTTCCTTTTCTCTCCTATTTCTGCCTTCTCTGTCTGCCCTCCTTCATTCCTTTCTCTCGAGATTGCAGACATAACCATGGGAGCTGAGGAGCCTTTTTTAAAAAACTAAAAATCATTTTTTTCTTCATACTAACTATATTCTATCATGGTTTCCCCTACCTTAACCCCTCCCAGATCCTCCCCACCCTTCCAACTCCATACCTTCTTTTTTCTATTTAGAAAAAAAAAAGGCAAATAAAAACAACAACAAAAAACAAACAAACAAACAACTCCAAAAATACAATTGAGTACGTGTTGTGTTGGCCGTCTACTGCTGGGCATGGGGCCTGAACTTGAGTGTGGTTTATATACCCAGTGAGACTCCTTTGGAGAAACTAATTCTCCTTTGTGAGTGGTTATTAACCTGAGATGGCTTCTGGGTTAGGGGCAGGAGCTTGTGTCCATTTTCCCTCTCAGCGCCGGGACCCCGCCTGGCTTAGACCTGTGCACGCTGCCACAGTCTGAGAAGCTGTATTTACCACAAAAAGAATGCTGTTCTGTGGTAGAGCAGTAGGAGGAGACGCCGGCTCTGCATCATGATAGAGATAAGATTATAGTCTCTGCCTGTGCAGACTTGTGTGTGCTAGACCAAAAAGCTGTTTGAGCCTCGCTGAGTGCCGTTACGGGAAGTGGACAAACAAGTTATCAAATATGGCTGGTTTCTGAGATTCCAATTCTCTGAGAGTCACAATGGACTAAACACACACACACACCCCTTGTTTGTGAGTTACCAAATGCCATGTTTATTATGAACAGCTTTCTGATTTCTGCGATGATGAAGAGGGGGTGAGTTCACGCCGTATTTCTGAACCCCTTTGTTCGGACAGTTTGCTCAGTGCAGTGGATGCTGCTTTCTCAGTGCATCGCGGATTCTTGATAATGCTAGATCTGCCTTGTCAGCAGAATTCCTCTGGCTTTATGTGGCAGTGTGGTAAAAATACATGATCAGATTTCACTATTAAGAAAATTCTTTTGGCAATACATGTGCAGTCAAGTTTCTTGCTCAGACAGGTGAACATCTGACTCACAAAATTTACCAAAGTATCTCATGACAAAACTTTGTGGCATTGCAGTGGTCTGGATGTCCATTTGTATGTCAGTGTGACAGACTGTGAAGAGCTATGCTTCAGGGGGCCACGCCACTCTGTCCTTGTCAGCCATGCCCTTGGTCTTTCAGATCTGAGGAGAAGGGACAGTGAGGAGTCCTGTTGGCTTAATCTTATTAATTCCACCATCTAGGGTGCAGACTCTTGGATATTTCATCTTCACAAGGTGAGCTGCGAACTGAAAAGAGGAAAGTGTTAGAGAAGTCATTCCAGGATTTCTTCAACATCCTGGTTTTTATCAGGCTGTGAGAGGCAGGTATTTTTATAGCAATAGTTGCTATTGTCACTTTTGCATAGGTAATTTGTCTTTTAATATAAACTAAATCATCTATTGTTAAAAACCTCCTTATGCTATGGGATAAACGTGGCTCTCTGTTCTGATGTGCTTTAACAGGTGACTTTAACTGAATGCAGCGCAAAAGGCTGTAGAGAGAGTGAGTTCCTCCTAGTTCCTTAGCCTCTTGCCCAGGGACTTACAGCCACTCCTTTCTGATGTTGTTCCTTTATAACCTTCCATGATAGCTAAAGCAGCCCCAAATCTACTTTGAACACGTTTTAATATTATGGTAAAATTTTCACAACAGTTCTATGTAGAATGTCTCAAGAGAGCACACTCTGGCTGTAGCATGATTTTGAAGAAATCAAATGAACGTTTTGAGATCATCAACTTGAAATACATAAGGCCTCATCCAGGAGACCTTCTAGATGGCTGGCCCACAGGACTCTGTAAAAGCTATACAGACACAGACTTCTGCCAGACTTGGCCTCTCCAGGGTCCCTGACTGCCCTTCCCCATTCACTGTACTCCTGAAGTGCTGGCCCGTTTTCCTGTCACCATCTAGACTGGTTCTCCTGTGCAGTATTAACCTTCTCTCTGTTAGGGTCTCTCTCAGCTCTCAAAGATTCTAACTTGGTCCTCAATCTTTGGTCTTACCGAACTTATTCAAATGACTCATTTTAAGAGCTCCCTTTAACGAACTGTAACCCCCTTGAGGGAAGTGGCTCAGTTCTACTTCCTTTTATTCCCAGTGTTGGTCCATGACAAGAGGTCAACATACATTTGCTATGTTGAAGTAAATCATGACAAATAACTACTAAACCTGGGGGAAAATATGGAGGCAAGTTTTCCTTTGGCTCCTCAACTCTTCTGTCTTTATTCCTTCCTCCTGGTAGGATGCCCTTCCTTCTCCTTGGCAGCTTGTAGCCTACACTTCTTTCTCATTACTCCACAAAATCCTGACCTCAGGTATTTCAACAAAGATGATTAGTGTCTGCTCATAGGGCTATTGCTTCCTGCAGATATTTGAGGCTTAATAGTTAGGTTTTAGCACAGTGGTCCAAGCTTAGGGATCAAAAGAGTCAACTGAGTAGTTTGGTTAGGATATGTTCAAGGTCTCAGATCCAGAGACTGTGTTTTATTAATCTGAGACTCAAGAATGTATACTTTAAAAGACATCTCCCTTATGTTTCATGAGCCCATAAAGACAAACAAAATAAACATGAATATAAAAGATATATAAAAAAACCCAAGCCCCCTTAAATTTCAGGGACAATTGTACAAAATACTGTCTTAAGACAAAAGGATAGTGGTGTCAGTGTGTAGGCAGAGCATGTATTGCTGGACTGTGGTTACAGCATTCCTCATAGCAGTTCACATAAATGGATGCCAATACTGCTGACCACACCTCTTTCTCCATCACTCACTCTAGTCCCTTGAGACTCACATGGCCATTTACAGTTCAAATCCTGTGCTCCATTAAAGTACCAGCTGGAAATCTTTAGTCAGAAATAATGTTAGGGAAATTGTGCTGCTGCATGTAGAAAGGTGTCCCACAGGCCACAGTGAGCTCCTCTTCTGCCTGGCCTTGCTTGCTTGTCTTTGAAGCCTAGTCCTCAAGAACAGCGGCACCAGATTCATCCACCTGAATGTACAGGCAGCAGTGTGCCATACCAATGATTACTGGCACAGCTGCGCTTTCCCACATGGAGCAGTACAATTACCATGGAGGCTGGAAATCCTAGATAAACATAGCATACTGAAGGGCCTTGTGGGGAAGCACCCAGCTTTCAGCACTTAAAACAAACACCTTAGAAGTGAGAAAATGAGTGGGGAAGGACTAGTGTACATTTAACTAATCTCTTAACTGGTGTTGTAAAGCTGTAAAGAGTCCCATTATCGATGGACATAATAATCAGGTTGCTGTAGAGCTGGAAAGTTGGAATGGCAACCTCGGCAGAGGGAAGCAATGGGAAACAGCCAGGCTGCTGCTACGTGGGTGGTCTGAAAAGGGAGGCAGAACGGGAGCACGAGGAGATAGAAGATGTTCAGATTGCCTTGAGAGGATCCAAACTGCATTGCAGTAAAGAAAAAAAAAAAAAACTGTTGGATTTGCACACAAGATTGGGAGTTCTGCTCTCATTCTTTGTGGTTCCAGTCATCCATGTCAAATACTGGTCCTGCTGCAGAACCACGGCTACATCTTTTCATCTTTCCCACTCCAGCCCTTCTTTTTCCCCAGTTGCTCATTTCCCTGAGCGTCTCGTCAGTATGAGACACTGTTCCAGGTTTTGAGGTATTTATGAATGGAGGAGACGGTAATCAAACAATTAACACAAAGCAATATGGGGCTACAAAAGCAGTCATTAGGGCACTTGGTAGCATTTCTGACTTAAACAGGTGTTGAGGAAGCTGTCCCCCACCGCCTTTTCACTCCATTACTTTTTCATTACTGACTCCTGAATTACTGAATTATTACTGAAGTGAATAGGAATTCAAATTTGATGATGGAAGTTGTTACAATGATCAGACAGTATTTTGGTAAGAGCTTTATAGGTTAGAAAGGAAAGAAATGGCTTTGAATATGCTGGGTTTGGCTTTCACTGTGATAAGAAGTCAAGTCACATATGGAGATCTGTGGTGGAACAGGGGGAACCACACATGTAGGTATTTGTTGGTTCTACCCTCCCCTCTTCAGGAGGCAGACCTTCAGCAGCCTCAGCAAATGCTGGAGAGACTGGCCATAGGAGGAAAGGTCTAGAGGGAAAGCACACACCCGGACATACTGAGCTAGTACCCTTGGTGGAAGTTCAGGGTGCTCCAGTGGGCTGGGGGATAAAGCCAGCAGAACTGTCTGGTGCTTTTCATAAAGCAGCAGTATCAAGGTCTATTCCACACTGGTAATGAGTTTCTGAGGCTGTGCTCCAGCACCAGTTGTTTGCTTAGAGCCCACCCTAGCTGATTTCAGTGTCAGTCAATACTGAGCCAATATTGGACAATGGGATTCATCATAGGTCAGTTAGTCTGAGATCCAAAGCTTCAATTCTTACAGTGTAGTCCAATGGGGGAAAGAATGGGCTGTACAGCCAAGGTCTATAGTGAAAGATCCCTACAGATCTGGACATTGCTGGGAGGTTTAGGGATGTTTAGACCGTGCACAGTCTAAACATGTGGGCAGTGTACCCATGCAAAGAGGATGAAGGTCTTGTGTTTTTATCACAGCTCTGGTCAGTACTCTCTGGCGCTGGTACGCATGTCTAGAGTTGGGTAAGCACACCTCAAACCACAGTACATGGCAGGGTTTGGTAGGTGCCATTCCATTTTGTTTTCCTTATCCTGTATCTTAGCTTGGGCTAAGAGATAGGTATGTTTGTCCAAAGGAAATCAATTTCTGTGGAGAAGGAAAATGAGTGAAGTAGGATTTTGGGGTAGCCACAGAGTACTTGAGGTTATTTAGGCCAAGACATGGTAAGCTGAGGCTAGAGAAGGTGTAAGAGAAGCACTGAATAGGATCATGCAGAAAGCCAAGTGACAGCGAACAAGCAGAGCAAGCAAGCAAAGCCCAGAGTTCGGCAAGGTGTAGGGAGGAACAGAGGGCCATTCTCATTCAAGCCACCACAGAGGGACAACTAAGTCGCCTGATCTAACCTTTGGCTTTATGAGTTTGAAGTTCATACTGGGGACAGGGCAGTTAACAAACACACTGCTGTTGTAGAATGTTATTTTAATGTGTGTTACTTTTGTTTATGTTGCATTTGTTTAACTTTGTGAAGCTGTGTTACTTTGCCTCTCTAAAACACCTGCTTGGTCTAATAAAGAGCTGAATGGCCAATAGCAAGGCCAGAGAAAGGATAGGAAGGGCTGGCAGGCAGAGAATATAGAGGGGAAAAAGAAGAGGAGAAAAAAGAAAGAGCAAGAGAACAAGGAGAGGAGGATTTTAGGGGCGAGCCACACAGCCAGCCACAGAGTAAGAGTGAAAGTAAGATTACAGAAGTAAGAAAAGGAAAAAAAAAAAAAAACCCCAGAGGTAAAAAGTAGATGGGATAATTTAAGAAAAGCTTACAAGAAACAAGTCAAGCTAAGACTGGGCATTTATAATTAAGAATAAGCCTCTGTGTGCGATTTATTTGGGAGCTGGGTGGTAGGCCCCCCAAAAAGGCAAAAACAACTCCCAACATTTTGGCATTCTAATGTAGGGCTGTAGAAAGCTGAACAATACATTGCTCAAACCCAGAGGAGTCTTGTCTTCCTAACTTCCCTAGTAATGCTACATTTGGGGGATGGTAATGCTATTTCTGGATGGGCATGGTACCAAGTGAGAGAACTTGAAAGAATACTGTAATGAGTAGCTGGAGTTATGCACTTATTTGAGGCAGAGTTGAGGCCAGTGCTGTGTTAGCCTTATGAGTCCTCTTGGCATTCTGGAATGCTGAAATTATGGAACACAATCAGTATTGCAACATTTGGCCATTGTACATTGGTAATGCTTGTGAATTGTTTAACCAGTTTGTAAGAATTTGGCAAGACCCTAAGTCATACAAGTTTGAGATAAGAAAAAGATTTCTCTGTGTCGATTTAAAACAACATGCTCTGATCATGAATCCTGTCTATGATCCTGATGGAAATGACAAGTGCCTAGGTTAAACACATTTCTGGGTGTGTTTAACCACCCAGAGTGTGCTTCCATAGATGACTGAGAAAGGTGGACCTGGCCTGAAAGTGGCCAGCAGTATCCCACAGGCTGAGGGCCAAGAATGAAAGCGAAAATGGACATTCCTTCTTTCTGCTTCCTAGGCTCTATGCGGGAAGTGGCTCTGCTCAGTCAACACCCTCATCACAGACCTCTAAATCTATGGGCCCAGAGAAGGTATTCACCCTTTGGCGTGCTTTTTCTCAAGTCT